AGCTAGGTTACACCCAGCATATAAGGTCATCTAGTCGCGGGTGGTTTGTGAGTACACCGGACATACTAAGAGGTACCCGGGGCGTACTCCCTTCAGACCAAAACCCTAATTTTGGGGTTCCTATCCTATATAAGCAACATTATACCATTCCTTAGGTCATTTTAAGCCAACCACCACCCCCTTTTATGTCCATAAAATCCTAGAGTGCCTTGGGTGAAGCTTGAAGCTTGAAAAAAGAATCTCGGTGGTTTGTGTAAGAGAAGAAGGAGGTGAAGGACTAAGCCTCTAGAGAAGAACTTAGAGATCCAGTATTTATATCACCATTTCGAGATTCTCAAGGTATAAAGTCTCTATCTTGGATTTTCATTTCATATATCTACTTTAGGATGGGTTTTTAGATATTCTAGGCCCTTTTACTTGGTCTTTGTGAGCTAGGGTCGTTTTAGGGAATCAAACTAGTAGATTTGGACATTCTATGTTTCCCTCATTCATAAAGGTGCAAGCTTTGTGGAGTTTTTGAGTTCAAGCATGAGTTAAGACCATCCATTAACCTCTTTTGAGCTCTATAGTCCCATTAACCATGTATGTTAGTAAAGTTGCCAACTTTAATTGAAAAGTCACCTCTAGGAGTCAGACTGAAGAGTTGGAGCAAGGGATGAAGTGATTAAGTGCTTATTGGAAAAGTTTGGAGTCCAACGGAGTATGTTGGGCATACCCACTTGGTACGCGGTGGGTACTGGCACTAAAGGGTGTACGCTTGACGTACCAGATGAATATGTAGGGCGTACTCGGCCCAGATTGATCAACTCGTTATGTTGACTTGTTGGGCTTTGGACCATGGATCGGGAGTTGATTAGGGTTGACCATTCAGTAATTCATGCCTTTTTGGATATTGGGCCTTCTTGGGTTAGGTCCATAATAGATTTGGGCCTTATTGGACCTTGTGGGCCATTTCGGGTTTGGGCTATCACATGGAATTGTAGTGCATGGATTTGTTGGGCTAGCTATGGTCATGTGTATTGGTTCAGAAAAAGTAAATGGACTTTAGGGAAAAGGTCCATATAAGGGTTTGGGCCCAATTTGGAAACTTGGGCCATTAATGGGCTTTTATGGATTTTATAAGTTTTGGGCCTTGTTGGTTTTGTGCTTAGGCCTTGATTGTGAATCTTATAGGGCCTAGGCTGAAACGGTCATTTCATCCCAAGTAAGGATTATGGATCATGGTTTGGAACCTAATTGCTAATTGGGTGATATTTGGTATTAATAGCTCGAGGATTCAGCAGGGCTGCAACTAGGGATTTCTTGCAGTGGGCTTCAGCATTTGAGGTGAGTCTCCTCACTGTTTGTATGAGTCGAAGGCACCAATGCCAACCCATTTGGTTTATGTATTGTAGGAAGACCCGGGGGTTAGCCCTAGGTATTATGTATGAAATACCAAGAGGTGGCTCCTGGCACACTGTGTGCTAATTAGCTAAGCAAAGTAATATGTATGCTAGTTGTCTTTGTAATGCTTGCATGGAAGACGATGAGGTGGCTCTTGGTACTTGTCTGTAAGAGCTAGGGGTGGCCCCGACTTGGCAAAAAAGACCATGAGGTGGCCCATGGCATAATGGCAAGACTATATGCGACACATAGCACCTTTATTGATTATAATATATGAATGATATGTATGGAATGTATGGATCAATTGATATGTACGGTAGGTGGTATTTGGGGAACTCACTAAGTTTCGTGCTTACTGTAACATCTCGAGTCCAGGAGTGCGAGTTCGGGGTTCAAAGTGCAAATTTGAAGGACAACTCGGCGAGTCCATGAGTGGACTCGGCGAGTAGGGTCGCGACTCAGGTCGCGTGTTAAGTGGCCAACTCGGCGAGTCGAAGGCTGGACTCGGCGAGTAGGCGCTGAGTGAAGAAAACCCTAATTTTGGGGGATGAGCCCTATATAAAGGACATTATACCCTTTCCCCAGCCTCGTTACCTTCCCTTGAAGTCCAGAAAACCCTAGAAGCGTGATTGTGAAGGATTTGAGTGCATTTGAGCCTTGGAGAAGAAAGTTGGAGGAAGATCTTGGAGAGTTAGGAGGCTTGGAGCAAGGGGCTTTGCTTAGATTCGGACTTCCTTGTTGTATGGGATTCCTTTTGAGGTATTATCTCGTTTTTGGGCTGCTATTCATCTAGATTCACCATTTTTGGGATGTGTGGAAGTTTAGCTTGTCGTATTTAGAGTTTGAAGGTTAGATCTGAGGTTGCTACCTCAGATCTGGAATGGAGAAGGTCTATAGTGCATTAAAGTCCCTGTTATTGAGTGTTTGGTGAAGCCATCTTGTCCCAAACCCTAGCCCTAGAGTGTAAAATGCCTAGATCTCTTTGGATTCACGTAAAGTTTGCCACTTTACGTGATGGAAGGGTTGTAGAAGGGTAGATCTATGTTTTGGATCGATAGCATGGCCTGGAAGGCTTCTGTATGGGTTTAGAGCTAGTGGTACTCGGCGAGTTGCTTGAAGGTGGGTAGGAACTTGACGAGTTGGAAGAACAACTCGGCGAGTTGATTGAAGATAGCCTTGGACTCGGTGAGTCTGTTCTTGGACTCGGCAAGTCTGGTCTTGAGGTCTTAGCCTTTCCTGGTTAAGCTAAGAATCGGTGAGTCAAGGGATGACTCAATGAGTTGAAATGGGTCCTTTTCAGTGTTGGGGGGACTCGGCGAGTCAGCGGGCTGACTCGGCGAGTAGAGTCAGCCAGAAGGTTGACTTTGACTTTGACCAAGAGTTAACCAGTTGACTTCTAAGGGCATTTTGGTAATTTATGGCTTTTGTTTTGAGTTCAGTGTTGGTGCTAGCCAGTGGTGGAGATCGTGTCAGTGGTCGGAGCATCTCGGTCTTATCTTTCCAGTCAGCAGTTGCGAGGTGAGTTATCCTCACTATATCAACAGGGTCTAAGGCACCAAGGCCGGCCCTTTATCGGATTGTAATCCGGGTATTGTTGTTATGTTGCTGTTTTACTATTTTTTCATCCTGGTAGTTAGGATGGTATTCGTTAGAGACCTGGTTAAGTCGGTATCCTGGTATATAGGGGGATGTTATGCTAGTAACCGGTTAGGTCGGTATCCTGCTTAGAGTATGTTGTGTTACGTGATCTGCTAGATCGGTTTGATTGAATGTAAATTGTTATATGATTGTATGTTTATGTGCACATGGTTGTTTGACTGGGGTTGGGTTGAAGAGGGACCTGCTTTGTGCTGTAGGCCAACATACCTAGGGCGGACCAGTTATTCCAAAGGCCCAGCGAGCGGTCCGGATAGGCTGTAGGCCCCACGAGGGCAGACCAGACGTGCCGAGGCTTGGAGAGTGGACCAGGCCGACTGAAAGCCCGATGCGGGCGGACCAGTCATACTGTAGACAAAGAGAGTGGACCAGGTGGGTTGAAGGCCCGGTGCGGGCGGACCAACCATATTGCAGACTCGAGGGACGTGACTAGACTCGGAGGGTGGACCAGGTGGACTGAAGGCCCGATACGCTGGACCAGTCACACAGTAGACCCGATATGCATGGTTGTTCTGCGATTTGTTGTGATATAGCATGTTATGTGTATGGTATATGTGGTTGGTATTTTGGGGGTATCTTACTAAGCTTTCGGGCTTACAGTTGTGGTTTAATGTTTTTCAGGTTCTTCAGGAGACCGTGGCAAGGCAAAGGCATGATCGTACCGCTCCTCGTGTTTATGTTTTATGATATGGTTCTTGGAATACTCTGATAATAAATGTATTGAAAACCTTTTTGTAATAACATTATTAAAATGGGTTGTTTTTGAAAAGTTAAAATTTGTTGAAAATTTCAGGTCGTTACACTTACGGTTTTCAGTTTTGGTTTCAGGTACTTCCAGTTTTCAAATAAAGGAACTCGGTATGATTGCAGCGCATACACCCGTATTTTTCATAATATGTGATTTCTAGGAATGAACTCTGATAAATGTTTCATTTGAAATGCTTCTCAATGTGTGAACAAAGTTACACGTGTGTTTTTAGTTATATTAAAAATGAAAATTTTATCTTGGATTTTTGGGATGTTACATCACTACCCTTCGTTACCCAATGTATAATATTTATAAAAGTACATATACGGTATAAATTGTATAAACTTATCTTTATAACATTTCATCTAACACATAACATCTTTGCACTTAAGCACACATAACAATTAATTAATTCGATACTTCATATCTAATTGTAAAATGAAAGTAACTTTGCACTCACTTGATAAAAGTTTATGACTGATGATTTCAGCAGCACTTCACTTGGTACTTTCAAAAGACCTAAACACATAAAGTACTAAGTCGTAGTCTAGTTTCGTAGTCATGGTGACTATAATATTTATAGTCTAGGTTCCTCACTAATCTCAATTGTCTACATCAAGATCTAACAAGTAAGGATCAGCCAAGCAAGACACTTGGGAGGCTGGATCATTTTGGTGTATAGCTTTTCTAAAATCCAAAAACCAAGTCAACATGACTATTATAGACACCTCTCCTGCAAGTAGATCAAATAGTAATTTAACTTGGAATCACTGATAAATCTTATTTATAGGTTCATAATAACGAATTTTGACTATAAATATAAATTACAATGAAAGCAAAAGAGTGTAGCTTAACTTACATAGGTTTTAGGTAAACCGGGAAAATGCACTTAAAGGACTCCGAAACCGAAAGCTTCTATTTTCCAGACACCTCGACCCCTTAAAAGCTTACCAAATACCCCTAGGAACCTTAAGAAAATCAGACTCAAGAAACAGAGAGAATTTGAGAGTGTTTTGGAAGGTTTTGTGTGAATGAAGAAGATTTCGCAACTATTTATAGGCTTTAGGGGGGTCTTTGCGGCGCGCATACACTCGGCACGCCGCACCTAATTGCTTTAGAGGTCCACATAGCCTCCTTCTAGAAGGTGTCATATGTCACAATTTTGTGGAGGCACGTCGTCGTGTCTCTTAGAGAAGTGAGAGGTCGGCTTGCCATGTGGCACACTCCGGTGCTTCCACGTCACCAACACAGGTAAATAGTCTATAAAATGATAGATTCTTGAAGATCCCACATGACAGGTATATCAAGTTAAGAATGGTTTTCATAGTTGAATACCACAAGATATTTTTTGGAAATATACATAGTTTCTCATTTGCTTTCTATTTAAATTGTTAGGCCTAACAATATAACCCTAATATAAAATATGCAATTGCTGATAGTTTTATAAGTTACAACTTGCAAACAAAACAAAACATTACAATTTTCACTATACCAATCCAATGCAACTAACTATATTAAAATAACCTCTAGTAAGATTGCAGAGGAGAAAAGTTATTCCAATAAATAAAAGAAAATTGCAAAAATTATCTGGACACAAAATTTAAAAATACCATGTAACCTACAATAATAATCAACAATATGACCAGATTTGTTTATAATCACGGTCGGAGATGCTTGCGGTCATTCATGGAAGAATGTCTTCATCTGTGGGGCTATAAGGACTCAATCACCTGCCCAGCAATATAATTCAAGCTTCCAAATCAACTTTGAACTTTTACTCAAAGATGGTTAATAACCACAAAAATTGAGATTTAGTTATAAAAATGGACCCCTGTAATAAAAGTAATACATAATAGATTCCTCTGCAATAAACAAATTACAGAATTAGTTTTACTATACAAAAAGACTTAACGAGACAGTTTGTTGGCCATTTGCCTTCACACACGTTGCATTGTGATCACTAAAATTATATTTTAATGAATTAACCATTATGTGTAATATACTTTAATAACCGGTGGAAACTAAAAAAAAAATCAGTAATGGTTCGTAATTACGCAAAACTATAGAAATGATAGGCATGATCAATATCTTTCAAATGATATATCTTTCTATTAGAACATCACATTTAAATTTGTTTTTTACTTAATCATTATATATATATATATATATATATATATATATATATATATATATATATATATATATATATATATATATACACACACACACAAACAACAAACATGCATAATTTCATACTTTACAACACATGTCTTGTTCAAATAATTTATTTGAATTCATAAATAAGGAATAGAGATACACCGTCCAGGAAAAGTAAATAGGGTTTAATATTGAACCTTAAATCGATAGGAAGAGCTTCGGGATAAATCGATTTACCTTCAAGAATTGATGATCAATGGGAAGTGAAGATCATAAGAATAATATAAGCCCAAACCGTATTTGCTGTTTTAAATTAAATTTGGATACGGTCTTATTTTTGATTTTCTACCATTGAATTCAAACATTTGTGTTGATCATTCGATATATAAGATCAATGCCGGTTTCTATAGTATTGTAGCTTGAGCCGGAAAACAAATTTGTGGGTGAATATAAGGGGTCGTTTGTTTCGTTTGATTCCTAAGGAATTGAAAGGAATTGGAAACTAAAATCCAATACAAAACGTGTTTGGCTAACAGAAGGAATGAAATATGATTTCCATAATTACTTTTTAATTCCGTATACGAAAGATTTCCCATTCATTGCCTGTCTATAAGGAATCCACAGTCTGTCAAAAAAAAAATTCATCTATCGATCATATCTTTTCTACAATTACGGTCGTATTTCATCTCTGGCTCATCATTCTTCTACTGCTTTGGTGTATCTATCATCTTCGTTTACAGGTAAACATCTCATGTTCAATTTTTTCGCAATTAATTGTGTTCAACCATTTTTTTTTATATATTTGTAATATGTGATTCATCTTTGTCTGATAGAAAATAGCATAATTTTTTAATATTTGTGATCCTTATTACATCTCTAGTTTCTTTGTGTGAAGTATGAACAATTTTCTTTACATGCTATGTACGTTTATTGTCGTCGTATTATAAAATTTATTTTCTAATTCCATTGTAAAATCAGCAAACTAAACAGAAAACATATTTCATTCCTTGTCCTCCAAACATATTTCAGCTTCTAGTATATTCAGATTTCAATTCCTTCAAATTCCAATTCTTTTGACAGATTCCATTCTTTCAAAAAATATTCTGCGAAACAAACGCCACCTAAGATTGAAAGGTGACATTAGTGAGATTTACACGTAGTATATAAGGATTCGTTTATTAGAAAATGTAGATTAGAATAGCGAATAAAAATAACTATTTTTGGTAGTAGTGTATTAAATTTGAAAGCGATTGGAGAATGCCATTAACCTTATTTAATATTTATGAATAAAAGTAACTATTTTTGGTTGTAATGTACTAATTATAAAAGAGATTGGAGAATGCCACTAACCTTATATTATATACTATTATATTTACGAATAAAAGTAACTATTTTTTGTTGTAATGTGCTAATTTTGAAAGAGATTGGAGAATGCCATTAACCTTATTTAATATTTAACGTTATATTCAATGCAAATATTAGCTTTTAAGTTTTAACCACACTATCGTCGACAATGATAACACGCCAAGACAAAAGCGATCAACAGAAACAACGTGTTACCAAATTATTTGACTTTAACAACCGACCGTTAGCCAGTCAAATCATAATACAACTCATCACCATTTTGGACCGTAGATCTCAAAAGATCTGCATTTCAAACTTTTCCTTTTTTCCTTTTTTATTTTAAATAAAAGTTGGGTGACCAATTTGCAGCGTGATTCGCGCTGTCACTTTATTGTTTCCTTTCTCTTCCATATTTCCCCCTCTATAAATACCACCATTTTTACCTTCGCTTATCTCACACAAGTTTAAAGAGACTCATTTATTCACATTGCTTTTTGTCTGCTTCTTTCTGTTTGTTAAAATCTCCATAAATTCAAGAGAAATGGCCCAAGTCAGCATGGTGAAGAAGGCTTCTGTTCTCGCTATTGTCGCTGTGGCGATCTCTGCCGCTACTGTGTCGGCTCAGGAGTTGGCTCCGGCACCTTCTCCGCTCGCTGGAGCGGCGTTCTCTCTACCGGCGTCTGGTGTCATGATCGGAACTTCTCTGCTTCTCTCCTTCGTTGCTCTGTTCAGGAATTGATGTTATTTTGGATGACGACGTGAGTGCAGTATTACTTCGATACAGATCCATTGCTATTACATTATAATTATTTGCCAGTTATGTATTGGATTTATTCTTTATTTCAATTTTCAGATATTATATTGTGATCAGGTTATGCTTTCTGAATATTAATGGTATTATATTCTGGTGTTGAGTTTGAGTTTATTTTTTGAGCATCTCGATTTCCTTATGGTTTTAATAATCAAGCACACATATATGTCAATTATACACTATTTAACATCCGCTTCAAATAATTGATTTAAAAATGTTGAGATTTTACAACAGAAGAAATGGATTGCATCAAGATGCTAGGTTTTGGGGTAGTTGATTCTGTAGTTGAACGAACCTTAACCAAGAAATTATAGATCCTATCAAACAAATTTAATCTTCAAAGGATTAATTTTGAATTTTTTTATGTGTAAATTGAACAAGTAGTTACCAAGAACTTGCTATTTGGCTAGTGACAAAAATAACCAAAATGGTTGGTTCAATATTTTTAGGTGACTATATTTTTCACTTGTATTAAAAAGTATTCACAAATTTAGTCCAATCATTGCAAATTGCGAAATGCAAGAAATATTTGGCCTACTGCTTAAAGCAGCCAAATATTTCAGTGGGATATACTATACTTAGATACTATAAAACAATGTGTAAATGAATATAATATTTTTATACAAATGAGAATAACCTCAAATTCATCCAAAATGTTTTTTATAAACATCTTTACACTCATAAACACTTCTTTAAAACTCGTCAAAACTTATTTTTGTTGAAATATTTGCATAAATCAAAATACACAATTATAACGTCATAAAGTTCATAAAAATAAATAGCGTAATAATGACTCCAAGTAATCTACATATCTGATATTACAAAGTCGTCTTCGGTATGAATAACCTCGTATTCATCAAAAACTTATTTTATAAACATCTTAAACTCATAAACACTTCTTTAAAAACTTATTTGATATATATATATATATATATATATATATATATATATATATATATATATATATATATATATATATATATATATATATATACCAAAAAGCCTTTAGCCTAGCGATAAGGAGTGATTCTCTTGAATGAAAAGTCATAAGTTCAAATCTCTTAGGATACATATGTGATATTTAGGAGTATGTTTATAATAGATAGTTTGCAAAGATGTATGAAATCAGTAAGAAAAAAATGAAAAGTTAGAATTGTTTACAAATATGTTTTAACAACTGATTTAAGAACGATTTTCCAATGAATAGTGTCCTATGTTGATTAATTGTATTAAAAAGTTATGATTGTTAACAAATATGTTTGAACAAATGATTGATGAATTGTTTTCCAATGAGTAGTGTCCTATGTTGATTAGTTGTATTGCCACTAAGAGAATCCTTTTTCTTTATCTTAGAACAATCTATACATGCATACACTATTCTACTCCTAAATGTACGTCTTTCTACTTGAAACCCAACATCTTGCTGATTAGCAACTATCCATCAACTTATGATACCGTTAGGCCAAAGACCCTTTAAGAGGGATGGGGGATTGCAGTTGGCTCATGGTAGCTAAGTGGTTCAGGAAATAATGGCCTCAAACATTGTTGGACGGAATAATGGCCTCAAACAAAATAACTAAAAGAAGGAAAACATGTAACTAATTTTCAAGGTTAGATAATATCTTAAATTGAGTTTTATTGATTCGCAACGTACAAAAATAATTACTTAATTTCAATCCTCCCGATACGTGCATCAGAAGATTGAATGTGGGCTGACTCAGAAGTTTTGCTTCGTTTGGACATGCCCACATAATCATCAACACTTTTTAGATTAAGCCATTTTGGTTTGTCATTCACAACTCCCCAAAACGCCTCATTTCCAAAAGGTTTTCCGTCTTTCGCCTTATAAATCTTATGAAATTTTGATAGGACATCCACCTCATTTGCACCGCTTTGGGGGTTGCGGATCGAGTTCATATAAATGTCATTGAACTTCATTAAGGCTTGGTGGTCCTCCATTTCGAGTAAAGTTGATTAGGATTGTGATACTTCTTTTTCACTCGGACACAAAAACTATTTCAAACTCTTGTTTTAAAGAGTGTGGAATCTTGGTCATCGTCTGTCGTCGGATCCTCCGACACATCTAGCCATGCTTGCGCTAATGCCCTATCTCCATTATCCGTCCATCCTTTTACATGGAACCTTGCCTTTTCCTTTACTTTTTTCCTTTTGGTTCAACTTCGGGATCTTGAAATGACTCTTAAACGAATCTTGAACGTGTCCTTCATTGGAAGAATGAGTTGATTCATCGAATATGTGGCGTGGGTGGGATTAAAAATAGTTTGGGGTTGAGGTTGTAAAAAGAATTGGGTTTCTTGAACCGTCTCAAACAGATCAAGATTGAAATTTGATTTTTTTTTACTTGGGGTTTTGTTCTGGGTAGATGAAGACATTTTTGTTTGGTGAATTTAGAGTATTTGTGAGAGAGATATTGATATTTAGTGTGTGTGAAATGTTGAAAGTGTAGTGTTAATTTATAGTGGTTGAATTATAATATGAAAATTTGAATTTTATAGGTATTTTTTTTAATAAAAGAAGTGGAGGGATTTAGTAGGTTTGAAATGTTCAAATAGAAAGTGGAATCCCATCAAATAATTGAGAACCAATCACAAGAAGCATTTCCCTCTCACTCCTCTCGTTACACCCAGAGCGACTTCGGCTTAGTGAGTTTCCTTGTGAGAGCTTGGGGCGGTGTTCCTTCTCCTAGCGAGCCTCATAACGATGTAACATATTGATTTTTACCAAAAAAATTCATTAGAGAAAACATAAATATTATAAAACCAAGTCATAAAAATCCTAGGTGAATCAAAATACAGTTATCCCAAATCAGAGTATAAAGATGCAGAAAATCTCAAAATCTGCAAGCCGAAGTGTACAATCAAGCCTTCGCCTTTCTGCGATCATCTAATTTACCTGAAACACGTTTAATCCACAACTGTAAGCACAGAGCTTAGTGAGTTACAAAAATATTACAGACAACTTCGCAAATTAGATAACTATAGGTTATCAACAACCATGTGGGTTAACAATACATTTCAGGGGTTATCAGCAACCCTGGGAACTATCAGTAGTCCGTGGATTCATAGCTATTCAGGAGATATCATCAACATTGTTTCACAGATAACATCATTCAACAAGTAATATAGCGAGAAGAATTACCTCACATACTTCAACTAAATCAAGACAATTCTCATACAGTGAAGACCAATACTACGAATCACCTAACAACAATAAGTACCAACTTAGTCTACACCCTAAATCCTATAAATTGAACAAAATTTAACTATGGTCAAAACACAACGGTCAAACTCAACTTGACATGCCTCCACGTCATGGCCACCCTTAGGCCACGTTGTACCATACGAATCTCGAGGTATTTTAAAATTTTCAAATTTGGGCATTTTAAGGTTTGTCACGACGTGACGAATCAAGTTCAGGTTATGTATTTTATTTAAGTCGTCGCGGCGTAGCAGTATATGCAACAATGTGGCAGCTGGCAAGTGAGAAACTCTATTTTCTGAGTTTTTCTTCCTATTTAAAGGAGTGGGGATGCAAGGGTTTGCTTACCCTCATCCTTCATCAACCTCTTTGATATCTGAGAAACCCCAAATCTTACCCTATCTTATTTTGAGACTTTTTGGTTTTCCTTGAAGCCTTGGAATGAAGAAAGAAGAATAAGCAAGTTAGGATTCAGCAAGCTAGTCCTCATCCTTTCTGTTGGCAATCTCCTAAACCTTTGTAAGTGTCCAAGACACGATTTTTATCATGCTAGGTTGATAGATCTTATGTTTTGTCCCTAAATCTTCATGTTCATGTGATTTAGAGTGTTAGGATCTCATAAAGTTTGCAACTTTATGAATCTGTGTGACTTTTGGATAAATTGTTGGGTTGGATCTGGATTCTTGTGGGGTTTTGATCCATGCATGATATTTCCATGGAAAAAACCCTGATTTATAGCTCATTATGGATTCAATACATACATTAGACATGCATGTCTATAAAACACCAACTTTTATGTTGGATTTGGTATTAGAATCTGTTTTGGAGTAAATGAGTTATGGACTTTTTGGATTAGGTGCTTAATGGAGAAAGTCATGTCTTATTTAGCTCATTTGAATATAAGGGTTGAGATTTTGACATTTTGGGTGATCTTAACGGGTAAAGTTATAAACTTTATCCTTCTAGATTTTGACATTAGGTGCTTAGGTCGCCACGACGCGACGGCTAAGGAAAACGCATCAGTTTTGTCATTTAAGGGTCAGGACGTAGCCAAGGATGGCCATGACATGGAGAGTCAACTTTGACCATTGAATTTTGACCTGATTTGACTTTTGGTCAAACCCCCCTAGTTGAAAGAAAAGCTAAGGATTTATTTGTTATGATTGAATAGGTGGTGCGTAACAACAATATTCTGTCAGTGAGAGTTGTAGCAGCTGAGCATTTTCTGAGAGGTGATCCTTCTGACTGTACTCGTGGGTCGAAGGCACCAATATCGGCCCACTAAGTTGCGTATTTAGGATGCTAGTTGTCTTTGTGACTCTTACATTGTTGGATTAGGTGTCTAAGTTCATAACTATTTCTGGAATGTACTTGACCCGGTTAGCATGGTCCATTTTGGGTTTCATGGCATTGCAACAATTGGATAAACTAATTGAGAGAAAGGATACTTATGGTTTATTAATATATTATAAGTTATAATATATTAATAATATTATTTAATTAGTATTGATCAATAATTAATTTAGAATTAATTTGGAGATCAAAAGGAGACTAATTAAATATATGGGGTTGATTGTGTAAATCATTCATTCTTATATATTGGGCTAATGACCCATGGTTTATTAAGCTAAGCTAAAACCCATAAGGTGCTCCATGGATAGTTCATGGAGTTTATGAACCCATGGATCATGGAATATGAAAATTCATGCACATTAGGATTTACATGGTGTAACCCTACATGTGGCACACGATATAAGAAGCTCCATGGATAGCAAAATCGGCGACTACGAAAGAGCTAGAGGGCTAGCCGATTTTGAGTGTTAGCGAACTTCTCTCAAGGTTATTTGAAGATATGTGGTGTTGTGTGAAACATTTGAGGCATCGCACTTGAGGTGCTAGGCTCACAAGGTTCTCAAGGAATCCAAGCAACAAGAAAGGTATGTTATTCTACTAGCTTTTATGTTTCAAAGTTCCCCATGCTATGTTATTTAGGTTAAGAACCTTGGAAATCAAATTTGCATGTATCTTAGTAAAACATAGATCCAAGGTTTCTAGGGTTGCATGTATACCTTAGGAGTGCTAGAATGCTCAAAACCCGTTAGTGGTATCAGAACCCAGACTTATTTTATTGATACTTGATGCAAATTGTTGAAAAAACTCAAGATTTCTGCATTCTGCTGAGTGAACTCACCGATTCCATGGGGGGACTCGACGAGTCCATGTGTTAATTCATCCTACTCGTCGAGTAGGTTCGTGAACTCGACGAGTAGAAGGCTCTGAATGCAGATTTTCGAGTTTTGCTGCTGGAAATGGACTAGAAACATTACCCTAAACTATTTTGGTCTTATAAAACCTGTTTTAGATGGGGGTAATGGTTACGCTAATCCATTTACAATAGCTATTATCAAAATTTCAAGTTTTATATGTGATTTTTATGATTCTTAAAATTGTTGATATGAATGTTCATGAACTTATGAGTATGGTAGATCATAGGAATTATTTTGTTAGTTTAATTCTTGATCTTGATGTGTTTTAATGGAATCCATAATTGTCCTCAAGTTATGGATTACCAAAAGTCTTCCTTTTAAAGTTCATTAATAAACACATAGGTTACATAAAATGAAAAGTATCTCATATTAATAAAACATTAACTCATAAGTTATGAAAGATGAAAAGTTTTGAAAGTTACAAAACTTGCCCTCAAGTTTTGGAACATGTAAAGTCACTTTAAAAACTTTAGTTCCAACCCCTATAATTTTAAAAGTTAAAATTCAACACTTATACTTTATAATATTATAAGTTAATAGTATATATATATATATATATATATATATATATATATATATATATATAATAACAAGTCATTTTACCGTTAGTAGGCCTCATTCACGACGTCGGTCTATAAGGGGGGTATAAAGTTGTTGCCTATAAAATTCCAACTTAATGAGTGTCCACTCTCACCCACCGCTTCCTTGACTAGTGGAGGGTCGTTAGCCGAACGGGTAGGACAATGACTTTAATCCTCATTAAAAGTATAATGGTTATAAAGTAACTAAATGTTTTATAAATTCTCAATCTTAGTTACTTTAGGAAAATGTGGATTTGATGCTAATCCATGAAATTACACTTTGCACTTTGCTTAAGTCATTAGTAGAGCGTGTGTGGTTAACCGGCACACTAACTTGTACTTAACAAGGTATGCAAAGGTTGGCTTAAGGTTTATCATAGATCGGTGGAGCGTGTGTGGTTAAGCGGCACGTTGGTTAGGTGATAAACATTAATAATACCAAGTAATTTGCATAGTTAATTCACACCCTGTTCTGTGATCCTCGGTATCCCAGTCACAAAACTTGAAGGGCACATTCGAGATTGAAACATGCCTTCGAAAAGTTCAATGAATCTCAAAAGAATCTATGAGTTTCAAAACCAATTAAAACCTAATAATTTATTTCGTTTTTCATGTTGGAAATTGGTGAATCATCATTCACCTACTTTCAAATATTTTATTGCTTGGATTACGACATCCCTCTTATAAGTTATAAGATATTGTGTTGGGTCCTAGCCTTAATATTACATTTGGGTGTCTTATTAAGGACTATCTTTATATCTAATCTAAACTTGTCTTTTTTTTCTTTTTCAGATGTCTTCCAACAATGTTGCTTCTGGCTCAAACCCTATCGACTCCTTATCTCTAATGAAACTTTGTGGGAGAGTCATCTCCGATGGTTCCATCTGTATGG